ATTGAAGCGAAATGCACTATAACTGGTCAGTTCCCAAACATCAAGAAGGAGCTATAAAGAGCTGTTCGTCTTTTATGCACTATCACAATCTCGAAATTTGAGTCATGTCTTTGTGTGATATATGTACAGAAAACGGGCCTTTTACACAGTTACAGTATATCAACGCAATCGGAAGCGGCGTAAAGCGGAAATGTGTGCTTGTCTCTTAAGGAAAAATTTTTTCAAAAAATTATTTAGGATACAATGATTCAAAAAATGTTACGAACGAGCGTTGCTATTTGGTAAAATTGCTATTTCAATAAATAGGGTGGATACGGTAGCGAAGGATATAATTGTGCAAAAGGGCCCACATTTGCCGTCGCACTAGTTAACAAACTTCGAAAAGCTTTTCAAAGAGTTACATATGTGCATTGGCAGTGACTAGCAAGAATTTTGAGACAGCAGTTCATCAGTCGAAATAGTTCTGGTCAGGGTTTTGAGTATTTTTATTCACAAATGTTCGCCATTTTTTGAGTTGGGTCCAAAATATCAAAATGCAACCCTACTTTTTTGAAGAAGTTGATTCACGGTCGAAAATTTTAGAATGTTTTATGAAAGTTTTACTACTGTTCAATGGTATCAAAAAGTTTTACAAATACCACAAATCCAACTAACCAGTTCCTTCAAGCGTCAAGGCATAACTATTACAAGTTGGAGTCTCAGCTGCAGGCCACCTAAACGCAGTTCATCAAAACTATTGATCGATTCTGTAAAAAATTTCCCACCATTCAGACGGAAGTTTGTTTCCTTGGCTCGGTAAAGAAGCATTGGTCATGTTTGCAAAGGAGAGTATATAGCCAGAACGAGATGAATCAACTTTTCCTGTGTCTACGGTATAGATTGTGTCAGTGGTCCCATTTTCTGTCTGAGAAAAATTTCAGTTCAGGAGGTTACTTTTCTTTTTTAGAGTTTATACTTACGTTCAGTGCGACTGTGAAGTTTTCTGGATCTATATGGTTGAATTCCGTACCAATGAGTTTGTTAGTGATGTCTATGACCCGATCAAATAATCTGGTAACGATAGGGGAAACATAACCGGAGAAGAGTAACTCGTCCACTGTCTGGAAAAGGCATCATTTTCTTTCTTACTGCCAAAAAAATCAAAAAATTTTCAAGTTGAGGAGGTAAAAAAGGAAATGCTTACCACCGTAACGAATGGTCCCGTCTTGAAAAGTGACAGAAAAACTCCCAGCTCTCTTTCTATCAATTTCGCCAACTCGGCACATTTCTCTTCTTCCATGACCATCTGACAGAATCCAACAAGCTCTTCGTTACCTAACATTTTCTCTACAAAATCGTTGATTTGTTCCATACCAACCTGAAGAGAGATTATCATTGAATACCTAAAAGGAGCGTTAAACTCACAAAGAAGCTGATATCAGGAATGGTTACAGTATCCTTTTTCGGATCGCAGGTAGGGCATGACTTGGCCGGATTGAAATTGTACCGATAGGCTTGAGCATATTTCATACGTTCACCATTGTCGGTAAAACTTATGTGATCGTTAATTATAGTCTCACTAAAAAAAATTATGAAAAATTTTTAAAAAATCATTTCGATTATTTCCCTGTTTCTATCGGAAGTCACGGG